AACAAATAATTAAGAAACGATGACATACGCGACAGTCAATCAATATTATAATAAAGTAAGTACGTTTTACTTGTCTTTATAATTGTAAATTTCCATACGCCACTTTTCTAGAATTTTCGAGACAACGTTAGGCAGGTGTCTATGTTGTTTTATTTTTAAAACCCAAACAAATACAATTACAACAAAAGTTTAAACGGCACCAACTAAAATCGATAACACAATGGCCTGTATCGTGACTCAATTTAAGGTACCTAAAATGTGACAAAACTCGAAAAGATCTATCGATGATATTTGAAATAAATAGGTATTGTAGATGATAAACAAAGAGCAACCCCTATAGTTTCCTGCTCATTCTTCTCAAGGGAATCTGCCTTACGAATTAGCAGTAATTTAATCAATATGACGATTTCAAGTGTAATTTGAAATGAAGATTATTTGAATTTGACTTAGCAAAGGCGAAAGTGAGTCACCAATCACCATAAGTATTTTTTGCTCATATTGCACGGGCTTACAGCCTTTACAAACCGGGTCAACAGTGAATTAAAATTGCGACCTACTGTGATCTGGGTCACACACAAGGGAACGTAAAATAAACAATGTAAGCTCATTCCTGAACGTTATACTTATGAAGAAACATCTCACCTCTGTTCAACGATACTAATATACATAAAAAGCTAAACACATGTAACTTATCATAATAGCTCTACTTATTTCTGTAAGTATTTAATGAGAGTTTCAACGGTAAATTATTTACTTCCAAAAATATCGATACCTCCAACCTAAGGTTGTTGCAAGTCAAAATACCATTTTTTACTTTTTAAGTCGACTAGATATTTTTTTATGCATATCATAGGTTCCATAATTATTTAAATTAAAAGTAAAGAAAGTGTGTTATGTTTACTTTCAAACATGGAACTTACAATACATAAAAAAAAAGGAAAAAATGGTATTTTGACGTACAACAACATACGTGTGACGCATCGATCTATATATTTGTAGTATTTTACGAAAGAACTATGCTGAATACTGCCCTCTGAACCAAAAAAGGCACAACTACAGTATAAAGTACGCATAGTTGTGCCTTTGTTCATTACGAGGGCAGAATACTCTCTATATAGATATTATCTAAGAAAAAAAAAACATCAGTAGGTCTCTATCATCTACCATCGAGGTATCTACATTTGACTTGCAAACCTCCTTTTCTAAAAGTTGTTTATCTAAATATAGATGCCTGAGCCATCAACTACAATAAACTACAACTACAGTAAACTATTATATTATTTTAATCGCGTATATTTGTTTTTTCAAAGAAACCAAACAGTTTCGGACTCTTTACACGCCCTCATGGCCACAGCTGGCTATTAATTATTTTTACCAAGCATCTCTACTCTCAAGAGTAATTTTTACGTAGTTGTAATAGAACGCGTGTAAAATTGACCTCGAGTCGAAATTATCTCACACCTGACGCACTGTAATATAATAATAGAAAATTATTAAGTAAATCAGAGTCTTGCCAATCGAATTTAAGACGCTACATCGAGCGAACATTTCTCCGGCGCCCGGCGCGGGGGCGGGGGCGTATTTTTGCGCGTGACGTCAGGCGCGGTCGACCTCCGCATTTCACGTCGGGCCATAGAATTTGCGATTTCTCAATTTCAAAATTTTTTAAGTTAAATAGACGAACGAACGCCACAACAATATCACCTAATGTAAAGGAGACGATTTTGCGCGTTTGGCATAACTTTCAATTGTAGTTTTTGGGAAACGGATGCCGGCGGATATAATTCCATTCCTTTGACGCACGCGTTTTTTTTCCGCGGCAATTACTTCTAATGTTGATAATGATAAGTCATGTATCCAGCCTTTTATTCATTAATTCTTTGAAGAAACACGCTCACTTTAAGAGAAGAGAACATACGCGCGATACGTGGATAAACACTTTTACACAAATACACACCAGTGCATACCGCATACTCTATTTGCAACTTTTTTAATCCTTTTTTTTTTGTTTTATTGTAGGCAAGTTGAATTTCATTGATTTTAATTATTGTACATTCTAAGTTGATTCAAATTTTTTAAATACGCCTTATTGCAAAAGGTGCTGCCTACCTACCTACTTTGTAAAATTGCCTTCTGAGTAATTTAAACCTACCTACTACCTAGCTAATTTAAACGTTAACGAGTAACCTAAACTACCTTATCACTATGAAATTTAGGTAGGTACAATAATGCCTTTTGCGATCTGACGGTCCTAAGCCCGTTAAAGTATGAAGGAAAAATTTGCAACTTATGGATGTTATTATTTGTTATCAATCAAATGGCGGGGCGGGGGGCGGAAGCGCAATGCGCGGTGACCATTTACGTCAGGATTTTTTTGGATAATTTTGTAATGCCTTATCTCAATATTTTAGTACTGAATGATACTAAAAGAAAAAATACGTATATAATTATTTTCATTGCAGATCATAATATGAAATTTTGGATAGTGTTTAAAAAATCTTCCTGTATAGTCATCAATCTTGACACTTTGGACTGTTCTTATTTCAAGCGGCATAGAGTTAAATTTAAGAGCTCTCATGCCAAAAAAGTTTTGACGTTGGCTCCGCCCAAATTTGTGAAACAAATATATGCCTGAAATTCCCGTGACGTGTGACAGGAGATGTTGAATTTTGCGCATTAAAAGTACCAAATTCGTTTTAGCGGAATAACTCTAAGGGTCGTATTCTTAGAACTGTGCTCAATACTCAAGTCAGGAGTTGAGTATTGCAGTGAGCACTGAAAATCATACTCAAGTCTGCTCAAATCCTGACTTGAGCATTGAGTAGAGTTCTGGAATATGACCCTCAAACTCTATCCCTTTAGGATTAAAAAAAAATCCGTAGTAACAGTTGTCGATCATGCATAAATATAATTAATTATCTAATTTTTGTCCTAATAACCTGTAGCATTTCGAGGATAAATCGAAAAAATTTGAAAATTAAAGGTCATTTCGTGATTTTTATCTATCGAGGAAACTTTATTGTTTTATGTTTCTGATTAATTTCTATGCCTGAAAATATCGTGTAGTTACTCATACAATATTTTGTTTTTAACTTTAAAGTGGATATACCCCTCTAAAATCACATCGAAGATTAGGAATTTTTCCTCTGCTCCCTCTTAAGCCTTTGATGTCAAGCTTGACGTGCTCTTGACCATGTACTTATCAAAGTTGCTATATTAATATGATTTATCGTATTCAGAATGTATTAGGTAAATTTTTATGTAACGTCAAAGATTAACTATATATATGTAACTCATGATCATAAATTAAATTTAAAGTTTGCACATAAATAATTAATTAAACTGATTCGCTTTCATCATTTACCACCTAACACATTTACAAAAGAAGTACTTTTACTTGCAGTTTCAGATAATAGAATAATTCTACAGTAGGTATTTACAGATAAGTTTTTATTATAACGCTTTTATAGGTCAAACAACCAAGTGGCAAATGACCTGTTTTTAGATTCATGTCGTTCTGTTTTCCTTTAGCGATTTTAGATTAAAATTCATGCACCTTACCTCGTTGTAGTCTAGAATATAGACGCTTTTCGTGGCCGCGATATACCTACATTTCTTTACAAGGTCCACGCGCATGCGACTTGCCAACTGTTCGCCCATATTCCGTACTGAACATCTTGAATGCAATATTTTAATTTTTTTTTCTTTATTGACTGTTTCCACCAGTTATAATTGGGGAGCTGTATTTTAATATTTTTATATCTACACAATCTCGACTTGACGGTTTTTATTTTTCTTTTCTTCAAATTTTTTATTCAGAACTTTTGTAGTAAATGAAAAATAATGCTTAAAATTAAAATGTATGCGTTTAGGAATTTAAGGATATGAAACTAATCATTATATATTTAGTAATAGGTAATTACTTTTCCGAAAATTGAGAAAATAAAATTTTAAAAAAAGGCACAGGTGAATTGAAAGGGTTACCACCATTGACCTATCAATAAAATTATCACTAAGGATAATCAGACCAGTGTTCTTTTGCATGTATTTTGTTTATTATTTAGTCAGTGTTCCAAGAATGTTAGTTTTAGCTTTCGTCACTTTATTATCGAGGATCGATATATGGGTACAAGTCGATATGACAAGTTTTATTATCTTCCTGAAATCGTGAATGAAACTCTTGAATACATTTCGGTGCAGAAATAATTGGTTGATAATTTTTACAAAGCTTTCTTGCACTTCCGTTTTCCTATAATGAAACCAGTATTTCAGGCGCGAAGGTCGAAACCCTGATGTTTTCAAAAAACACGCCCTGCCGATGTTCTTCTTTCCTTCCGTGTCTGACGGCATCAGATGACATTTGCCAAATATTACAAGGTTGCCAACGACGTTCGTTCAGTTTCTATGACGTCACTGCTTTATTGTATCATGACCTATTAGTTTCAGTTTTGTTTAGACTAGTTGCAATAGTATTGGTGAGTCGAAAATATATTGGTAATAAATAAAATGAGAAATAATTTTTGAATTTCTTTTTTATTACTTCTTTTTAACAGCAATTATAAGTAATAAGTTTACAATTTCTAACTGTCACTACATAATCGTCAAAATTTTCTCCTACAGTTCACGAAACCATTTTTAATTATATCATCAATTTCACAAATTTGGCAAACTGCTAGTTTTAAGTTTCTGTACACTGGAATTACCTTTCAAAAACATCAATATTATCAAAATCCTTACCATTATGAGAAATAGGTATCTCAAAATAATAAGAACCTTATTGTTCACAAAAGTTAATTCAAACCTAAAACTTACAATTACTGCACAAGTTCACAATTATGTACACAATGTAGCAAGTACACAAAATATTTACAACTTACACTAGAGATAACCAAACACACTAAAGACAATACAAACATGCGACGAGATCAGTCTTTCAAGTTCCCCGTACTATAACGCATGGAGTCCTCCACAAACACACAGTTTACAAAAAACCATGTTAACGTCAAATTAGGCAGCAAATTATAATAATGAGTAAAAAGTTTCCTAAACGAGGAATGTCCCACTGAGATTTGAGCACAAACTGGATCAATCTCACATTGAATTGGCCAAGGGTCTGGTCAGCCCAAATTCAACAGATTGATACCCTTGTTAAACACTAAAATCTGTCCTGAGATATTCTGCAGTCTTCTCTAGCTTAGTTCGGTAGAGTGTCCATTAAGATTTCCTTGACTCCTTGACTGAGACGATCGGGGAATTTAATGTCGAATGCTACTAGAAGATCTCCTTTCCTTGTTGGTTCCTTGGGGAATGGCAGTCCATAGCCAGGGAAGCGTTTCACTGTGTGGGGCTTCACAATTTCTCCTTGAAGGTTGACTGTTAGCTTCTCCCCAGACATTGTTGGGACTTCAATTACAGTGCCACACAGAGCCTGCAACAAAAGATAAACAATGGTAAGAATATGTTACACCATTACAGAATATCAGACTCCCAAGATTTAAATTAGCCTGCGGTCATTATGCAAAGGTTCTAAATCCAGTAGCATTTATATGCTAATGTAACTTATTGAAGAATTGCATGACTCATATGGAAATTGCACATACAACATATAACACTACTACATGGAAAACTCAAACCTACCATGTTTGTATGTGATAATTTATGTAGTTACACTATTGAAGTCATTACAGTTATTTCCCTTATCAGTTATAGTTACAAGACCATCATTATGCTAACTTGTACAAAACAACAATAAAATTGATATTAATGTTCTGCTTACCTGTTTGAGTGACACTCTAGCAGTGTATCTGATGTCACTACCTTCCCTCTTGAACAGCGGGTTTGGTTTGTCTCTGATGATGAAAACGATGTCAGCTGGGATCTTATTCCTTCCCTGGTCTCCCTCTTTCTGGAACGTAATCTTGGTTCCAGCTTTCCACCCAGGTTTGACATGGATGGTAAGCACTTTGTCTTCCTTCTTTGATGTGCCGTCAGGCTGCAGCACGCGTCGCGAAATTTTCATCTTCTTGACGCAGCCACGCGCGATGTCTTCCAGGGAAACGTAAAGATCGTGCTCTATTGGCGGATCTTGGGTCTTCTCCTTCCTGTTAGGCGAGCCGTGGACGTTGAAGCTATGGCTGCGGAAGGCGCCGCCCGGGCCACCTGGTCGCGTCGTGCCCATACCGCCCATATTCGCAAACGGATCCATGTCTACATCCATGTCCCTATCGAAGAACATGGTACTGCCGCCACCGCCACCGTTGAGGTCGAAGAACGCCTGGAACGGACTCGATGCGCCGAAGAACTGTGCAAATGTCGCCTGCGGATCTCCATGGAAGGTGTACTTGAACGACTGTCCGCCTCCGACGCCGTTTTGGCCGCCCATTCCTCCCTTGAGACCTTCCTCACCGTGAGCATCGTAAATCTCACGTTTCTTCTTATCTGATAGCACTTCATACGCTTCTGCCACTTCCTTGAACCTCTCCTCAGCCCCTGGACTTTTATTCTTGTCCGGGTGGTACTTAAGAGCGAGTTTCCTATAAGCTTTTTTGATCTCGTCGTCTGACGCTCCTTTCGACAATCCTAAACTTTTGTAATAATCTTTTCCCATTTTGTACTTTAAACCCTGGAACAAATAAACACTCTGTTAACCATCGAACGTCTGGCACCTTTTTTGGATGTCTACGTAACACACAGCGATGATCCACGCGTAGATTATTCTAGATTTAATTGAGAAAAACTAAATGAAACATGACATTTTCGCGACTGTAATTAAAATATAATGCTGGAAATAAAATATACTTACTTATTTCCTAATATCAAACAGCAATCCAACAGCAAAACTAGGCAAAAATTATAAAATACTCGATCACTCCCACAACACAACTCACAGTTCACAATTTTCACAAATGAATGAAACACATTGCCCCCGTCGCGCCAAAATATATACATTAAAACGTCTAGAACATTCTGGGACCTTCACCCGACGAGAAACCGAGATAAAATATTCCATAACCTTACGGGAATTCTTTATGTTAGAAAGAGATAAAAGTAATTCTGGTAGTTCAATATGCTAGAAAATGCGATCGAATTCAGTACGTTCTCAATACGTAAGTAACGGAATCATAATATTTCGTATACTTTTAAACCAATCAGAGAAGAGTATTTCACATTCCACCAATACCATTTTAGTATTTCCCGTGTGCAATCGAACTTGTGGCAAAATCAAGTAATGTTTTAACCACTTGCGTCAATGACAGATTGACAGTATTTGAATGCTGAGGAATAATATGCTCTGTATGTCTATTGCATTCACTCGTACAATGCTCACAGTGTAAAGAAAAGAGATAACTACAATCTTTTTCTAGAAAATGCTTAGAAACAACATAACTATACATACCTGTATCTACACACGTATACGTATTACAAACAAATAGATTGTAAACAACGATGGGTATATCGAGCATAGATATAGGTATATCGAGTGTGTGAATTTTGTTCTGAAATTTTCAGTAAAACATTGAAACAATGGAAAGCATTTATTTGAGGCAATAATGGAAAAATAACACTTTTGATACTCTTTCATTTTATCTTTAGGAAATGTAATGTTTTGTTAAATCTCTATTATGTCTTAAAATTCAACTTCAAAAAGGAGAATGTTCCCAGTTCTTGTTTCAACGTATAGGCGTATGATACCATATTGATCGTGTATGTCATGTGTATACGAGTATGTAGGTACATTACCTATGTATCTCATAATCCACAGCGCAGTTAGGTATTTTGATAACAAGTAGGTATATTAATACCTACGAAAATTGTGTACCTAATTTCAATGCAATATCTGATCAGGGTAATCAGGTATCTAGCAAAAGATTTTATTTCGAAATTAGCAGAGTTTTAAGAGAAAATGCGAAGTGGCCTCTAATATGCGAGATAAAATTAGCTCTGACAATGTAGATTTGATAAAAACAGACGGCACGTGAGCAGGCAATATAAATGGAGGTCATGTAGCGCGGGCGCACCGCGCGGCGCGCGCGTTCACGTGTCCCAAGATAAAGGGCGCGAAGCATTGACCTGCCTGCCAAGCAATGATTTTAGGTTGTATATTATATCCTTGTTTTTTTTGCTTGATAAATAGGGTATGTTTATCGCAAATACTTCGTTTTGCTACGAGCCTAGATTCTAAAGCCTTATGTAGCATAGCGTAGCTATCTAAAGGCTAGGTATATACTTAGCCAGTGCATGCTAACTTACCTATTTAATGTACTTATCTATAAGTATACCTCTAGGTACCTATTGTCATGATTTTTGTAAAAGTAAAATAAAATTATGGAGATATTCTTCTTTTGTAATGTATCTCAAAAAGTAGGATGATGGTTTTTATCGAAAATATGTGTATTATTAATGAATGGGTTACCTACCTAACAGTAGAGAGATGTGAAAATTGTTGTTCGTGAAGCCGGAGCAAAACTAAAAACTTTCTTAAGATGTTTATGGCGCCATTAAACACACACACGTATTAGTACACTTCGTTTCACTGGTTAACTTATTTCAAGTACTCATAAAATTTAGTGAATTATTTTAAAATGTTTACTTATATAATACTTAATAATGCCTATTAGTTAATACGTGAAAATTTTGAGGCAAGCCGGTGGAAATCGAGGTAGGTATATGGACGCCATGCCACTGCTACGTAGTACTTAGGTACATACCTAAATTGTCGAAATAAGTGGAGTAGAACAGTGCGTCACCACGGGTATCTTTACCTACCTAGACAACTGTAAGCAATTTTGTTTCACTCAGCTCTGAAAGGCATGAACATGATAGACGCAGAATCTTTTTCTAGGCTAAACTGAGGCTATAATTTTTGCCGAGTATCTTGAAACTACATTTTGAATCTATCATACCTATCTAATGGACATCCAGTGAACAAGGCCAACGCACGCTACTAGGGACGCTTTTGAACAAGAGTCGCATCACAGCCATTTGCTATCTTAGATATTAATTAAGTATCTAGGTACCTACATCGCTACGCGTTGTGCATGTGGCATTGTTTCCTATATCTTTAAATGTACATGTCTACACGCTAATTTGTAAAAAACATCAACGTGCAGGGAATAATGAACAGTCTATTTCCAGAAATGGTCACGCAGTGATTCTGTTAACGACATTCGCCACCAAGACTTCATGTTGTCTAACCAAAGTAGGTACTCATTGGATATCTCGACATGAGGCTCTTAAACATCATCCTCCGAGCTTTTATCTGCAGATGCTGCTGTTATATCTAAATAGATACAATTTATTTGTATTAGGTACCTCGGTAAGTAGGAAGTTTAATACAGGTACCTACCAACAATATCATACCTATACCTACCTATACTTAGGTATATGTATATAAAATAATTCAGCATGTTTGCCAGTAAATAGATACCTAATTGGTACGCCAACAGGTAATTACAATTTTAATTAAGTGCAATTTTTTGAAAGATTACATGAATACTTATGTCCTCATCCATTTTTAATGACATTACTACCCATTCAAATGAATTAAATAAAAAAAAATTAAAATAAGAAAGCATATCCAAATCATAAATTAGGTCGCAGCCTTAGAATAATAACGCAGCTGAGATTACGAAACAATAGGTCGCAGGTTTTAACATTTTAATGTCAAAAATTCATTTATAGTCTAAAAAACAATTTGTTTCAATTAATGATGAATACTTACTTAGTTTCTTAAATGTTGGTATACCTACCTGGGTAGGAACATTTCCATATCGTCAGGTATTAACATTAGGTATATACCTATACATACATATATAATTTGAAAGGTACATAATCTGTTAGAGTAGTTTCTTTGGAAACATTATTGTGGTGGTGTGCATATTATGTTGGCCCAAACGGCTGGGATATGACGGTACGTTTTTTAACAAAAGTAGATAAACATTTTAAATATTATGTATGTATAATTCAAAGGAAGGAAGAGCTATTCTTAGTTTTTTACCCGGGTTTGCAAACAGCGCCACACATCTTTACGCGTCACTTCATTAGGATAGAAGTTCGATTCTTGTCAAGCGAGTTTCCCCCGATAGCGTATAGTTGTCTATGGCGTAGAATACCACCTGAGTGGACACTGTGGCTTTCTTACATATCCAAGTTTTTACTTGGTGACACTTACGCATTAGATGCACGCCCCGAATTAGGGTGCCGCGCTTGTTGTCTTATAATATAAGGCCTAATTTGTGTAACTTTTATTACACCTCTCTCAAACGGGTCCCTTGAAATCGGTTATATAGTGTAATTAAGTGTATAAATATTGGTGGCTCGAGCACCACTGTCACTAAGCTAAGAAACGCAAAACACCTATATCAACTTCGGCCAGTACCTATTAGTTTTGTGCTCTAATACTACAAAAGTAAACCTACTAACCTAACTATAATAATATTTTCTGTTAATTTAATGCTAAGGTCTCTCTTTCGGACTTCTAGAAAGGGAATGATTCAAAATCTGTGACGCGTTTTTAATATGGGTGTCCGTTTACTTCCTACGAAGAGGCACATGTGGCACCTTCAGACAAAGACTACAATAAATAGCTTCGTCTCGATTTCTATCTTTTATTTATAAATAAAATATTTTAAAGATTCCTAGTAACTTTGATGTCCTGCGCACTATGAATAATGATGAATACGAATTGTATCGCTGCAGGAAAAATTTGGCGTTAGCACCAGTTTTTATCCAAAAAGGAAGTTCTTTATAGAGACATCTAAAGAACATAGTCTTTTTCGCTCTAATCGTCATACTCGTTTGAAAATCCATTTGACAGCTGTCAAGTGTCAAGTTTGCTTAGCTTTATTATAGAGCACGGTCGATTAGTTTTGCATTTTTACTGTTGGTTATCTAATTTAAACACATGATTAGAAAAAAATAAACTTTATTTATCTAACTAGTCTTAAGAATAACGCGTGCCGACATCCCTTGTACTCGATGTCGAAGTACTTTTCATAGAAGTCTTGGATTAACTCTTCGACCTGTGAACAGAACAATGTCGAACGATGTGTTACAAACTAAGTGCGATTGCTGCGGAGAAATAGCTCATGAACCGTATATAGAATGTTGTGAGTGTGAAACGAACCTTTGCACAGGTTGTTTCAGCACAGGACAGGAGGTTAGGACGCATAGAAATGACCACAAATACGCTGTACGACGAAACGAGTTTCCGCTATTCGAGAACTGCAATTGGTCAGCTAAAGAGGAATGCAAATTACTATCAGCATTATCCACATACGGCTATGGTAATTGGGAGGAAATATCAAAAAGTGTGCACACCAGATCTAAGTTAGAATGCCAAGAGCATTATAAGAAGTATTACATTGAAAATGTTCAGTACAAAGAACTCAACTTACTACCAGAGACTGAATCATCCATGTTTCCGAAGTCTATTATACCTTATTTGTACAGCACGCAGGTATCTGGGAATCCACCGAGGAATAATCAGACGGATCAACATTTGGCCGGCTATAATGCTTATAGATCAGAATTTGAGTTAAGTTATGATCATAATGCAGAAAGCATATTTAATATAGAGAATCAGTATTCCGATGAAGAAGAAGATGATGATGAATGCATGGACGCTTTAAAAGTATCTTTAGTCAGTGCCTTGAATACCAGGCTGCGAGAACGACAAAAGAGGTACCAGATCATCCAGAACCATGGTCTAATAATGCCTAATAAACTCGTGTCTTGGCTGCAGAAGTTTGATCTGACAATGACTCGTCAAAGATGGGAAAAATTGATATCTGTAATGCAATTCATGACTGGCATGCAATTTGACGCATTTATTGAATCAATGAATTTAGAATGGGAATTACTTCAGAAGATCATTAGGTTGTCGGATTATCGTAAGCATGGTATAAAGAGCATGTACTCTGCAAGCTTGTACAAACAATTGAAGAAGGAAAATGACTTAGTGGTGAAAGAACAGAAGCATGCAACATCAGTAATGATGAAGAAGTTTGATTTGTCACCAACAAAGCATCGGATGTATTTTAATAAAGATAATCAGCCTAGGAAATTCAAACGTACTTCAATGCCTTTGGAAATTGTTGATTTACCAGGCTTCCATTTATTATCAGAATCAGAGAAGACATTATGTTCTACTTTGAGACTGATACCGGAGAATTATTTAGAGATTAAAGAACAACTGATAAGTGAAAACAATAAAATGGGATTCCTGCGTCTGTTAGATGCTAGACGTATTGTTAAGATAGACGTCAATAAGACTAGGAAGATCTATGACCATTTGATTGCTGACGGGTTTATTTGTAAACCTATGTAAATAAATTAATTTTAATACAAAGTTGCATTTTTCATCATTAACTTAATACTAGTTGTAATGCTAAAATATTACCTTAAATCCAAATTTCTGGTACAGAAAGATAGCAGGGTTGGTTGGTGATACGTGTAGTGTTACATCTTTTCCTGTGCACGTCTGAAAACAATCATTGTATAAAAAATGATCCAGATTCAAGTAATTCATATATGTAGGGCAGCTTTTACAATTTGGACAATTGATATAGTTGAATTGAAATCCCAAGTGTAAAGCTGAATGTGCAGTTTTTTATTACATTGGTGGAGAAAGGCCTGTGACACAATTCTCATTGGTTGCCTCAGAAATGTAGTCTCCAAATAGTAGGCATTGAAAGGTAAACATCATGCGATGCAATGACGGACCAATAACTCTAGGGACTGCTCATCTGGCGGTGATTAGTAGCCTTATGTAAATGGCCGCGGATATCAATGAATTCTTTTTTAATATGATATATAAGAAGTCAGTTTTCTCCTTATAATATTATTCAAATATTGATCATGAGCTGAAATGACGTTATTCTTCTTCTTTTAAATGTTATGGTCCCATCGAAATAATCAATGATTTTGCCAATGTCAAGTAAAAATAACTATATACGGTAGTTTAATATTATTATAAAAATTATACAAAAAAAATGGCGATTTCGCCAATGTGAGATTATCAAACATTTCGCAAGAAAACATTTTGTCAAATTTGTGTGTCTGTGTCAATTTCTAATACGCGTAGATGGCGCTAATCCTAAACAAAAAAAAGAATAGCTGGCACTATCCATAAACATATGTGCAATAAGCGCCATCTAGTTGATTTGTTTGTTATCACTAGAAATTAGAGTAGCTTTGACTCGTCGCGACATCTGGTGTACCAATAGATACTAAATACCCGACTACGCTGTCTTGTGTCGCGATTTCATTTATTTCATTTATTTCATTTATTCATTGCTTGCTACATGGTTTTCTTAGATCTAAATTTTACATTTTTTCCTTATACATATAGCACCCCGGTAGGGCGTTGCAACGATTAGCAGCCCACTTGATTTATTGGTTCATGGTTTCAACATATTCTCTACATTGGTCTACCTTCTTCATGTAACCACGCTTTAGCTCTGCTGTAGATTATCGGGTGTGTAATGGAAGATATAACAACAAATAATCTATTTTCACTTTGTATAACATTTGATATAATTTCTAGGGATACAATCACACACTGTAAATAATCAACAAAAGGTACTGCAAAAGGCATAATTTCAATGTGTATAATAAATCTTCAGTACATTAGGTATAATGATTGTGACATAATGAATAAATGGTATAAGTACTGTAGTCTAGGCTCTACTCTATGAGTAGAATCACTGGCTGAGTGAATATAGTTTTGTATTTAGAATGTGTTTGAAAAATGAAATAGAAAGAACAGAACATCTTGAGAGTTCGTAATGTAACCCGAATCAGAAAATATGTGAAAGAATACAATAAACCAAGTTTTGAAGATTATTCCAGTTTAAATTTATAAAAGTACCTCTCGCTACGTAACACGAGCTACGCTGCAATGAAAACCTACAATTTGGACCTAAAATTTCACAATATTTTGTAATTCATTCAGTATGGATAATGTAACTTAAAATTCGGCTTTAATTCAAAAGATGTAATAATCACCAGACTAAACTATCAATATGGAGGAATTGCGTTTTGTCGTACTTTTGTTTAATATTATAAGTCAATAATATAAGCAGCCAATTTTTAAAATTGCAATAACAGTCACTGAAGCAGAAGTGCTAATCTTTGGCCAGCTTATTATTAACATACGTTATGTTGACGGTACTGCATTTATCTCCGATTGCATGAAGACAATGCAGAACTTGCTCGACTGTCTCGAAAATCAAAAGAAGTTGTAATGGTTGCTAATTAAAAAAAAAACCTAGGTTTCTGGCTTGATCAACAAGTTGTTAATGCACAGCGTACCAGAGTTCGCGTTTAAATAGCATGAACGACATTCTTAAACATAAAGGAAGAGCTGTGTGCTGCTTTTATTTTCAGCGATGTTATACTTTGTTTAATCAAGAACTTTCGAGCGGAACAATATCAATGATTTCTTGGGGAAACAGTCCTGCAAAAAATGCGTAAGTAACTAAAAAATCGGCAGGTCAACTTCGACAGCAGTGGGGTGTGGACATGTTTAGAGCAGCAACCTCGAAAATAAAAATTACAATAGGAAAAAATATGAAAGGAAATTATGATAGGAACAAGGAGAGAACTACCTAACCTAACTATAAATATTTAGATTACAAATTTTTATTAATTAATCGAGGTTGTATTAAAATGTACTTGAAATTGACGTTCTGCGATCGGCGTATCACTGCACCCAATCTTCATACTTAATTTATGTGGTCTATGCTTCTGACTACTCTGATATTGAAACTATTTCAATATCAGAATTGTAATACCGGAAACACTATAACAATTGCTTTAATTCGTCCATCATTTAAAAGGTTAAGTTCTGGCAAATAGTTTCGACCTTGATTCACTTCTACATATTTAGTGCTTACGTTGATTACATTTACGACACGACATCGAAAAGAATGCCTTCTTCACTTTGTTACTTAACGCAATCTCGTATTTTGTTAATCGGCAATATATTGCAAATGAATATATGGCATTAATGTTTGCAAGTGGAATACATACAAACTCTACACGCCCTTTTCACACAGGAATAATTAATTATATTTACAAGGCAACAAGAACGGCTATTCCACTTTGGATTTTAAAGGTGATACTAGCGCTAGCTTTTCAGTCTAATAGTCATTTTTAAATGTTTGTGTTGTGTTGACAAATACACACACCGGCACATTTAGCGGAACAAAAGCAAGTAATAACATAAAATAGTAACGTTTATTAAATAAGATAGCAATTATATAATACTAACCTCTTTTATCATCGACTAAATACAGCCTTTCTCAACCTTCACAAAAAAAATAGAAATTAAACAAAATGCTATTTTTTATTAGATTTTCTGACAAAGCAGAAATAACTGAAAATTGTATTGTAACAGTCTGACATTGATCGAATCGAATTTTAATAAATAAAACACATTTTTCAACTGCACTTTACGAAATTTACGAGAGCGCAAATCTTTCTTCAACGAAAATCAATCTTAAGCAGCGGCATAACCCGTAGTAGGAAATTAAAAATTAAAAGTAATGAAAAAACTAACGCTGCAAGCTGGGCTTACAGTACTATCAGTATTATATTGGTATTTCATAAAAATCGTTTCAAAATTAATTTCGTTAAAAAATTAATGTTTACAGACTTTTTGGCTTCAGTCTGTTAAGACTTTATTTTGAGTGATACTAGCCAGTGAAAATATTTAATATTCAGATGGCACAGAAGTAACGACAACCGCCAATATAGTAGACTTATTGTACTTAAACTAGTGTTCTGGTAATTAAAGATTGACAATTAATTAATTGTCAATTGCGAAACAGCAATTAACGATTGATCAATTGTTAGTTGCGAGAACCGCAATTAGTCGGTCCCCCAACCGGGTGCCTTTTGAAAAAAAATTAATTGAAATTAAAATCAATTCAATTGAAATCAATTGCAATTAAAATCTGAACTTAGACATAGCCAAATTGCTTTTCTTGCAGGCTAATATAATTTTATATTAGGGGTTCAGAAAGAGACAGTTTTGTTTAAATTATGAAAATGATCTCGACAATTCGATTCACTTTAATGTTGGATCGATTTACTTAAAAATCGCATTCAAATGAATCGATACAGAAAATCGCTATTAGGAAGCTTTTATTAACATTATTAATTGATGGAAGGAATTTTTATTTTTGTTCGATCTTTGTTTTAATGAACTAACAAACTAGTGGAGTAATTTCACAAAAAAAAATTAATATCTCGGTAGTTGAACATCGTGATATGCAATAAATTGAAAAGCTATTTATAATCAGTTGCTTAGTAGTAATTATTATGTTAGTTGTTGCCTGGTGATAGCTATGTACAAATTTGTCTATTCAACGCACCGAGTATATAACCAGAAACAGCGACGAAAGGTCATTTATTTATTTGAAAATTATTCTGCCATATCATTATGGTGACAACTGCGCTCCGATTGGCCAGCCCGAATTCGAAACAATTGACGGGTGTCGTTAATTGCTTATTGTCGTCAATAATGGACAAAAATTGAAAAATTACATATTTAATTACTGATGAAATGTGATTCCGATTGTTTTGTAATTAGATGTTTTGCTGTTTCTCCCGCACCACCGAATGGAACAGACCCCGTAGTAAGAGACATTATCTGTATTACAATAAATACAGAACGTTTTTGGAATATACGGAGACGTACACACAGTCAGTTGTTGGCGCTGTACTATTTCATCTTTCTAATTTGTGATTTCAGTGCAAACAAGAGTTCATATTTAAGTGATATAAGGACTATTTGCCTGATGGGTTGCCAGGGGTGGATGGTCCTTATTTTGTCTCTATTTCCGGTTATATACTCGATGATTCAACGTAACTTATTCTAAACATTAGTGAAAACTGTTTTGGCTAGTGTTTGTTTCATATGTGTTAATAATGAAATATAATGATGCAATATGTTTCCCAAATAAGTAAAAAAAAACTTGAACCGATCTTCATAAAAATCGATTCGCAAACGTGCATCCCTAGCCGAAAATTGTAAAAATCAAGAAATACAGGATGTACGGAAGGATTCAGATAGATGAAGTCAATGGTATTACTCCATGTGTTTCGGGCTTCCTAGTACACTGAAAGAGGAATAGTGAGGGTGGAATTGAAAATTATTTACCTGTAACAAGTGATAGAGCATGAAAGTAGCGATCTTGGCATTTCGCCACTCTGGTCTGGTGAAGACGAACGAGATGTACGCCTCATTGCGGCCAACATCAGGTACGAGGAACGCGAAACCCACCACCAGCTTCTTGTATGTCACTACGCAGCTGAATTCGGGGTATTCGAGGGCTTCTGTTACTATATAACAAATGTATGTAAACAATTTTAATAATAACATTTTAATACCTAGCTGGCCAGACACCTGTTCACATAAAAAAAAAATCTAAAAACCCGCCATTTACAAATTGTTGTGTTATGACTGAATTGTGAAATGACATTGTATTTATTTCCTAGCAAATGTGATGAAAAACATTGTATATCAGCGACGGTAAAAAAATACAAAACTCGAGTTATCAAAGCCCTCAGCCTTCGGCTTCGGGCTTCTAATATTTGTGGCTGATGTTATTTTATCGAACAGCATGGCCTCAGGGATGATAATAATTCAAAATGCATTCTTGTAACACCTTTATGACTTAGCATGGCGCAATGGACTTCAATTTGAATTAGAGTATATACTAACAGTCTACCCCGGGCCAGAAGAACTGAGCGCAGATGTTGTTAACAGCTGCTATGTGCTGCGGTCGCACGTATGAGTAGTCGATGGTGGCGTGAGGTGGGGGACTGTAGTCCGGGTCCTTTTTCCTGAACAAAATTAAACAATTCGTATAACTGGTTGTGCATACATTTTGGTATCTTTATTAAAAAATGGGGATGTAATGTTCACTGAGCAACCCGTACAATTATTTTTTTAGTAAGTAAGTAGGTTTTTCCTGGTCAGCGTTCAAAGTCAAAGAAAAATTTATTCCACAGGTAAAATAAATTTACATTTGAAAACATCATTTTTTCAGCTACTGTTCGTTCACTGTCCTGACTTCCCTGAGAAGAACGAGTAAGATACTTTTTTCAAATAAACTTAAATACCATGGTATTACACTTTGAATCAAATTTGTGTGAAATCTAGAATGTTGTCTTTTCATGCATCTTTATCCTAACACATAGTCTTCAATTTTATATAATATATAATCTTGCTAAATGCTCCGGAACCTTATTGCGAAAACGTATACAGTGCCCCATAAAAGAATCGTTTACCTTAGTTAAACGAAATCGTGGTACCATGAGTTTGGACTTAGCTCTAAGGTTAATATTATGGATATCCTTTTTCTTAATGAAATTATATACATTTTTACGAGCATACAAAATATTTAAGTAAATGTAACAGTACATTTACTTAAATACTTTGTTTAAACGATAAATTAGTTTTTTAATTCGTAGTTTTTCGCGGTTAGCTTTGGAGTAAAAAACAAGATAGTTTTTTCTGTTCTTCGTTCGTCACGGTCAGCATTGGAACCAAAAAGATTTTTTTATTTTGTATTCTTTGTTTTTTTTATGGTTAGCGTTGGAGCGACATAACTTTATTTAACAATACTTTACTACATTTTTTGACAATTTAGATAACAGATTTTGGAAAAACTGGATCAGAAGTAAGACTAAAAACTAAAGAGGTATCAAAGTAAATGTTTAAAATTGAGTTTTAAAACTTCGGCTTGTCTAAATATCAGGCGGGACCGACCTGTTGGTCTTGAGGAGCAGCTCGTCCATGAGGCGGAGCCAGAGCGGCTGCGCCTGCGCATCGCGGCGGATGAAGGGCCGCAGTGCGGCGCCCGAGTGCGGCGAGCGGAACGGCAGTGGCGCCAGTGACGACAGCAGCACGGTGCCGTAGCTCGTGCTAGTGATCGTGCCGCACAGGTTCGCGATCTGGTACTGTCCGGACGAGACGTCACTTGTTACGTGCTATACTAAATTCGATTGGCTTGAGAGTCTATACTACCTCAGCCCGATTAAAATTTTTCCCGTGCTTATACAGTTTATTTTGCTTGGGTCGAGCGACAGAGATACTGGCTTTATATCAGAATTTATTTTTTTACAAATGGAATTAAAGCCGTTTGAAAAATGTATATCGTATAGTATACATGTTTTATTTAGTTTAGTTGACATATAATAAAAAATCGGTAATTATGTAAAGTACCGATTGGATACAGCGGTTTTCTTGGTTATTAATAACTGGTTGATGACTGTACCACCTCAGTCAACCCTGACCATGGCACCTGTAAAGGGCCCGTTGGTTTGTTTGAAAAAACAAATATACGCGATTTAAATCCGGAAAAATAGTTTCATTTCCTATGTGTAACAATCGCGAAAACCTAAGAACTCGATATATAGCCAATCTAATTTTCTGTGCAAATTTTCTCCGGTTTTTTTTGCAAATATACGAAATACCCTTTACTTACCGATCTTTGGAACCTGTCCAGAACACGTTCAGGGTTCATTGCAACTCTTGGGTCTTCCGTCACATATCCGCCCAACATTTTAACAGCTCTGAAATTCAATTTTGTCAGATATTGAGTAGATTCACACAATATTCACAAAATAAATCGCGCTTTTAACAGACTTCAAAACATTTTGTATGATCTCAATTCGATTGGTTCCTTTTTGTATGTACGTTATGCGATAACTCACTGTGAACCGATAGATGATTCTTTTTTTGTTGGAAATAGGGTACGTCAGTATTGGCCCCATTTAAATTTGAAGAAAATATTCCACTTCTAAGGTTGGCTAACTAGAGGCTGAGACAGGTTTTGGGCACTTTTCGGCAAAAAAAACCTACCTCAAAAGTTTGTGGAATTACATCTATTTGCCAAGTTTTATTGCAATCGGTTATCGAATTAAAGAAAACAAAACTGAAGTAGCCTCTTTCCAACAAAAATCGATTCACAAATTACGAGTTATCGCGTAACATACGCACAAACGTCCTCCTTTTCTAAAGTCGGTTAATAAGGGTTAAAATTATCATGGCATTTATTTTCTCTGTTAATTACCATGATAATTCTTTCATAGTTATCGAGTAATTATTCATGATGATTCATAGTTGTTTCTTTAATTTTTGACTAAAAATGACAAACTGAGAAAACTAAATAAACACGAAGAAAATCTTTGGGGAAACAATTTGGTTTGTGACTTTTTGGGATGACATTTGACACGTTTGAATACGTCTCAGGCGGGCTACTCTCGATCTCCGTCCGAAACAATTACTGTCAAATAAGTAATATTCGACAAAATTAAAAGACAAGTATGAAGCTTCATTCGCATCACGCGTCTTTTCATTTGGTCAAATATTGCTTATTTGGCAGTAATTGTTTCGGACGGATGTCAGACGGAGATCGAGAGCATAGCCCCTGATACAAACACATGACACGATATTGTATATATCACGATAATTATCAATGATAATATATCACGATAATTATCAATGATAATATATCACGATAATTATCAATGATAAATTATCACGATAATTATCAATGATAATATATCACAATAATTATCAATGATAAATTATCACGATAATCATCAATGATAATTATCACTTGGGATCCTGTTCGAAATAGATGCTATAGAACGAAAACGCTACAACAATGACGAATTTAGTTAACTCACTTGTCAAGATCAAAGATGGGCAAATGTTTATGCCTCTTCAACCTTCTCAGCGCCAGTTTGGCCTTCAGCCGGCACAGATACGCTTTCTTGTTGGCGTCCTTCACTTTGGGTATCAAATGTTCCACTTGTTTGAGCAATTGTATTTCTTCATACTCCGATATTTCCACTATATCTTTTCTTGGCTCCGGTAACTTCTCTATCCAAGGCAAATCTACGGAATTGAGCTCTGACGAGAACAAACTGTCTCGTTTTATTGGTTTCTCTTCAACTGGTTTTTTGGTTTTAGGTTCGGTTTTCTCGGTTTTGACATCACAATCGTCAGAATGCTCTATCGGCTGGTAATTCGGGGACCCGCTGCCTGAGTCCGAGTCGTAGTATAAGGCGGATTGTTGGAAGGAGTGTATGCTTGATGAATCGCTCTGTGGAAGTGATCAGTATCCTTGGTATAATAAAGACACACGTGATTATACGTCAGAAGCGCTTTTGTCATATGAAAATCATAAATATAATACTTTAGGATGTGTGCAACTGACCGGCGGGACGTAGCCGGCTGGTGTGAATTCGAAGCCCCGGAATAGGCTGACCACATCAGAGCACATGGTGCTGTCGCCCAGAGGCATCGGGCAAACCGCGTCCTCCAAAGTGTTCTCTTCTACTAGTTCCGTTCTGAAAAAATTAAAAACTGTACGTAAATAAAAAAAAATGTCAAACTCGAACAAGGCATATAAATTAACTTCCATGTTATTTTAATCCAATTAAGAGTTAATACAACCTCCTTGGTTGATTCCGCACAACAGTGAAAGTGTTGAATCAATCAGTTTGGAAAACAATATATATGTTACCGGAAATGTATGAAATCTAGGAATTGTATACAAATCCTAGGAAATGTATACAATTCCGAAGCTATCTAGGAAATGTATAAAATATTGTTTCAAAAACTATTTGTTACATAAATGTCCTAGAAAATGTGTACAATTCCTAGGAATTGTATATAATTCCAATATTCCAATATATTAGGAAATGTATAAATATAATGCTTTCTGTAATAAAACACGTTGTTAAAATGAGAATAATATTTTTCATTAAAGCACTCATTGCCCAGAGGGACTTCCGCGTTTGTATAAAAAAAACCTAACTTAACCTAAATAATCCGATTCGTTTCTGCCCAGAGGGACTTCTGCGTTTGTATAAAAAAAAACCTAACTTAACCTAAATAACATGATTCGTTTCTGCCCAGAGGGACTGCGACGCGCGTACGCGTACCCATTGAAATCTCAAATGATTTATATTTCCGATTGCTATTTAGGAAATGTATAGATTTCCTAGGAAATGTGTCTAATATAATTTATTTTACACATTTCCGTGCGATTTTTGGAATTACATACATTTCCTAGGAATTGTATACAATGACGGATTACATACATTTCCGGTAACATATATAATAAAAAACTGTTGCATCCTTCAAATTGTCTTTTAAGAAATTTTTATTATCTAGCCAGGTGTCCAACAGCACTGGCAGTCGTGCGGTGCGATTGTGACATTCCACTACTGACACTAATATCACAACCACACATACATGGTAACACAGTGATCACACAATACACGCTCACGCAGACTCTACATGTACTCGCAGTTTCTCCTTTTTTAAATTGAATTTTTTTTTTCTTTTTACTTGGTCGAAGCCACTTTATTTTTGTTTAACTGTAAATTGATGGCTTCACTGAAAATCAGCGTAACGAGATGTTTCCCTACGTCTCGTTACGAATAAGCTGAGTGGAGACCTTTTTGGTACCATCTTAAATATAATACTGTTTTATTTTAAGTAAATGTTATAATAAGGTTATTTTAATTTTTGTTTTTACGTTCTATTTGTATTATGGTTACCAAATAAACTATTTTTCTTTCTTTCTTTCTTTCTATATAGTAAAATTGAGGATATGCATTGGAGTGAAAACACGATTTCTAAAAATTTTCACGATAGAAAAAAACACAAACTTGTCTCGACATTTTTACAACAAAACTGCTGTACCGCTGCATTCAATAGGTACTTTACGTATACCAATGGTTTTTTTTATATCAACTGAACTAAATAGTACACGTGTAGTATACGATATACATTTTTCAAAAAAAGTAAATTCTGTAATAAAGCCAGCAGAGTCACGGCCAGTGCCGCTCAACCCAAGCAAAATGAAGTACATTAGTATGGGAAAACTTAGAATCGAGATAAGGTAGTATTAATTTTTTTCATAGGTTAGGTAGCAAATATCCCTGAGAAGAACAAGTGAGAATATCTGTTCACACATGTAATTAATCCCTCTTTTTTAGGAGACCCGTACCCAGCAGTGAGAAGTATATTAGTGGGTTGATAACGAATGCGGAGTAGTGAATTTTTCAGTTCTTGATAGTTATATATTACTTAAAATTCCTTGGCTCTGACTGGACTCGCACCAGCGTCTGTTGCTTCAACGTGGCTATCGCTTTTACCAACTGAGCTACGGATCGAGTTAGCAGATCTTACGAATTTGTCTATGTGTTTGTTGCGGATCTTTATATTGAGAAATTAAAGGCACATGAGACTTGTCAACTTATGTCTCAGGGTGACAGGCGCAGTGGTAGTGCCCCTCAGATCTTTGCGGTTTCAAGCCCTGAGTGGCACTGCAACTGTTATGGACAGGCGTGTCGCTTACTACCAAACGCACGACTCGTTCGTCCCGTCACTTGGTATTATGAAAAAAAAAAACACTTTAATAAGCTTTTTTGGGGAAGCATCACCAGTGAGAAACTTACGATAGTTTCCCTTGACAGTTACCAGTAGACTGATGGGGTTGTCGCTGTATTCAAATGAAATTTGACTATAAGCTACAGGCAAATGGTACACACTTGGAATCCGAGTCAAACTGGTCGCAATAAGATATGCTGGAAACGGCGCTGAGGTCATCAGAGTCGCCGCGACGCTTCTTGGCCGCTGACCCGTCCAGGGCGGCGCCGCTCGCCAGGGCCAGCGGAAGCTCCACCTCGTGGTTTATCAGATACGCGTAACCTGGAAATTAAAACTTAAGGTAAATTAAAACAATATATAAATTAATCATTCTAAACCATGGGTTTCCAAATTGTTTGGGTCACATTTCACGCCCACCACCATAAAAAATAATTGCAAACACGTATTTTTTATATACTCCCGGTCACATAATTCGTACCACTTTGTATTTTCAATATTTCAATACAACACACAAACAAACAATGCTTGATTGCTGAAAAATGCTATTATGCAACTTTGGAAACGGTATACGTGAGGCGCACTATAATTTTCCGGAATTAATAAGAAAAAAATACTATAAATGGTCAGAAATGAATTTATTGTTTCTCAAAATATTCTCCGTTAGCGTTAGTGCACTTTTTCATACGAATGAACCAATTTTGAAAACATTTATGCCACTCCTTTGTGACAATCTATGAAACATATTTTTCATACTCTTCGACAGCCTCTTCAGGTGATGAAAATCGTCGACCGCGTAACTCGTTCTTAATTTTTGGAAATAAATAAACGTCACAAGGCGCCAGGGCGGGACTGTACGCGGGATGGCTCATAAGGTCAACATTGTTCACCTTCAAAAATTCATTTGTCTGTCTGGTCGTATGAGAACTGGCATTGCCGTGATGCAAGATGATACGGCGTTTACGGTTATTTTTACGGAGTTTGTCAATAACTTCCAGTAAACAAATGGTCGTGTACCAATCACTATTCACGGTACAACGATTCTCCAAAGCAACAGTGGCCACGTGTCCAGTTTAATTAAAACAAGAAGCAATCATCCGCTTAGAGGCACTTTGCACGCACGCCACTGGTTGGTTTTGGCTCATCTCGAAAGATCCATACGCTCGATTGCTGCTTTGTTTTGAGATCGTAACTATAAATCCATGTTTCGTCACCTGTTACTATGTCCCACACCAAATTTGACGCCCTTTCGGTGAATCTGGTAAGCATGGCATTGCACCAAGTGACGCGATCCGTTTTTGAGCCTCAGTCAAATTGTGTGGGATCCACCGAGAGCATAGCTTTTTCACACCCAAATGTTTGTGTATTATTGATGGTATTTTACTCATGCCTATGCCTAAAGATGCCCGAATCTCATGGTATGTCGCATGCCTTTTTATTTTGATCATACAGCGCACAGAATCGATGTTTTTGTTGTTCACAGCAGTGGACGCCCACCATCACGAAATTTATCATTGAGATTCACACGACCGCGTTCGAATTCTGCAAACCAGCTATAAATAGTCGTCTTGCATGGTGCTTCATCGCCAAAAGCAGATTGAAGCCGAGGGAAGCTCCGCTGAGCTGTTCAATTACACTTAAAGTCGCAGAAAATCATACTACGAAAATTTTCACGAGTTAAATCCATGGTGATGCAGACAACCAATTTCTAAAGTGACGCCATAATGTAAAAATAAGTGACAGTCAGATAAAACAAAGTGTATTCTACAGCCAAAGAGTTCCATTTTCAAATGTTGTAATTACTTTTTAAATATTGTTTATGTAAGTGGCCAGTTCCGGAAACTTATAGTGGGCCATATGTACTAAACGTCATTTTCTGAAGTCATTATTGAAAATTTGAATTAAAAAAACCGAAAATACTTTTCCTTCGTCGATAACTATATTTTAATATTCTAGCCCTTTAAGGATAAAAACGCAAGGTGGTTTGAATGACGTGTCCGGTAGTGTATGAACTTGACACACAAAATCAGAAAAAAAACATGTATGTAGTGTAGTTTATATAGACAATTCGGGTTTTTTAAATATATTTTTGTGATATCAAGTGACGGGACGAACAAGGCGTGCGCCTGGTGGTAAACGGCACACCTGTCCATAACAGTTGAAGTGCCGCTCAGAGCTTTAAATCTAAGGATCTAAGGTGGCACTATCACTGCGCCTGTCACCCTGAGACATAAGTTGACAAGTCCCATGTGCCGTATGCTTGGCGGTACAAATAGCTAAGATTGCTGTAAAACTTCACTGGACGAACTCTTTAACACGGATTCCTATTGCAACTGCTCAAATGCGGTAGCACCCCCTGGACAGCATCAACGCCCCCCAATTGCTTCCGCGCCCAGCGCCCACTTTGGGAAACTATGCTCTGAATGGTGATAACTTTGTGCAAAACGCGAAAGTGCGGATGAGGGTAGTCGGGGAGGACGCTTGCACGTTTGAACTTACAATACAACAATACAAATAATTTATTGTTCTTTTGCCTAAATTACAACAATCATACTAGAACCAATGTAGAAAAATTCATTTCCCAAATTGGTCCTACCGGGAATTGAACCTGGGACCTCCCCATCTAGCACCACAGTACAAATCGTTGGGTCACCGAAGTGTTTGAAGAATTATAGAACATGTGCTTACCCATTTCAGTGACTCTGGCGATGAAGAGGGTCTTGTCTAGAGCCATTTGATTTCGCGGTCGGCCTTTCGGCTTGTCGCGTGCCATTTCTAGTACTGGATAAACAAAATTTAGCATCAGGTGTGTTTTAAGTTGTTCGCGTAAGGCTCAAGGAAGCTCAAGCCCAATTTCGAATTTTTCTAATTTAAATTTTTTGTTATAATTATTAATACAAAGATCGAACACTCAGAAAAAACACTCGGAAAAAATTCCTTCGATCCGGTCTTCGATCTCTCGCCAGGACTGGTAGCTGTAAAGGTACTAACTGGGTGATCAATCTGTAATAGATTTCTCATAGATGGCGCTACGACTATAAAATCGTTGAAAGACCAAGTACAAAGACACGACGCAAGCACATAGAAAAATTCGTGAGGTCCGTTGGTTCGTTCCGTGGCTTAGTTGGTATAGCATCTGGCACGGTATGCAAGAAGACGTCGCGTCGGTTCGAATCCGACCGGATCGAAGGAATTTTTTCCGAGTGTTTTTTCTGAGTGTTCGATCTTTGTATTAATAATTATAACAAACTAGTGGAGTAATTTCACAAAAAATAATTGAATATCAATTCAATAAAATTTAATTAAATTTTTTGATCTAGAAAAGAAAAATCTGGCCTGAAAGTCATGGAACGGAAGCCCTGGTTTGAACGGAAGCCCTGGTTTGTGGACGGCGCACTTTCTAGAAATGCATTGGTGTTCGCTTTTAGACTACGTACTGGCCACCTACCCTTAAATAAGTTCTACCATCTAATAAAAACTCTGTAACAAACTTGAAGATGTGCTATATTTAATGTAATGTGGCCATTATGTGGCTCTAAGAAGCCAATTTCAATTATGGGATATATGCAGGTTGGGTAGTTAAATGTTGTGTTGGGTGACCCGTTGGCGAAGAGGGCTAAAACTTTATACTCATATGTGAGGTCTTGTCTCTCACTACGAGGCGACACGATATAGTAGAATAATCCACAGGGATTGACATCACAAGGCCGATATTGACACCTAAGTGTTACAGGCCTTATTAAAAATAAGACTAATAAAAAGAAAGAGTCGTGGAACGGAAGTTGTGGTTTATAACGTTTTTTCATGCTACCAAAAAAGGACGAACTAGTCGTGCGCCTGGTGGTAAGCGACACGCCTGTCCATAAAACTTGCAGTGCCGCTTATTCTTTAAAACCGGAACGCAGTAATGCTCACATTACTGCTGGGCAGCAGAAATAGATAAGGTGGCAGTACTTTCCTGGACGAACCCTTTTACAAGGAGGTCTACTGCTACTTATGCAATGTAATGTTAGCAAAATAGTCCTGCAAGGTTGTTAGTATTTTATAAATTACTCTATAATACCATTGACTTACAATTATATGGACGTCAGGTCCGCGCTAAAAAGTGTCCGAACTTATAGGGCGTTAAAATCGTATACAAAGCGTCATTCACGCTTTAGTCTTTGTTTGTTTGACTGACAGCGAAGCAAGCAAAATTAGACAGTGCTGCGATGACATTACAATTTAAAAGCTTTTTCACATTCCTTTACTTGTCACTACGTTTAAATAGGTTGACTTGGGACATTTTTTTCGTGTTTTTTGTATTATATTTGTAGACCCGTCGTCCATTTATTTGTAAGTCAATGTACCTAGGGTACAATTTAAAGTTCACAGTTCATTGATTTGTGAAAACACAGACTGTATAGAAGTTGACATGTAACAAAATAAATACAGTTTCACTGTGTCCGGTCAAACATTAGACATATGTATTAGACCCGTCGTCCATTTATTTGCAAGTCAATGTATAATATCAATACAATATTTAGAAACAAATACGTCCAGTTTTTAATTTGAATGTGAATTGATGTTCAAACTCACTAATATGCGCTGCAACAGGTGGAGAAAAGGCATGCAACAGCCGCCACCAGCCCGTTTCCCCCAGCATAATGGATCCAGACCTGAAGAACAGGTTGTTGTAGACTGATAGCGCTCCTGC